TCTCCAGGGGAACATTCCCAGCTCTCCCAGCCTGGCTCCCTGGGAACTGAGGGGCTCCAGCCCTGGAGCAGCTCTGTGCACTCCTCTGGGCTCTCTCCAGCAGCTCCAGGTCCTACTGTTGGTCCCAGGGCTGGGATCTGGTGCTCCAAGTGGGATCTCACCAGAGCAGAGCAGAGGGGGAGAATCCCACCCTCACCCCGCTGCCCACGTTTCCTTTGATGCCCAGAAAACAGGGAATGGGACTGGTCAGGAGCAGATGGACAGTGGCAAAGGATGAGCCAGGAATGCAAATCCCCTCCATGGTGGCCAACACCTGATGCAGCCTGCTTTAGGTGCCTGGCACAGGCTTTTCCGAGGGAATTTGGGAGCAGGGACAAACCTTGGCTGCGTAGTGCAGGGCTGGCAGCTGCAGGGATGTCGCTCTCGCGTTGACATCCACGCCCAGCTCGGACACCAGGAACTGGATAGAGCCATCCTGGGCTGTCACAGCTGCCCTGTGCAGGGCCTGGGCACCCAGGGCATCCACAGCTGTGGGACAGGCCTGCAATTAGGGAATATCATGGGAATCACACAAAGTGTACTCATCCCAAATGAGATCAGCACCATCTGGAGGCACCAGCACCACCAGGAAAGCTCCACGAGGTTTCCCATCTCTCTCACGCTCAGTGCTTGGAATGTGAGGTTAAAACCACAACAAACTTCCCAATCCAGAAAACAGGATTTCCTTTTCCTTACGACATCCAGGATCTGACCAATGCCTCTGGGAGAATCAGCCATGATGGGACCCCAACCAGCTGGGATCAATCAGCAATCAATCAATCAATCAATGATTGAGTGCAGTGGTCTGGTTCCTGCTGTGCACAATTGGCTCTAATGGCATTCCCTGGAGGAAATCAGGGATTTTTGGGAGCCAGCACAGGAGCAGGAGCTGCCAGGAGAGAGGGAGGGCAGGGAGGAGCTCTGGATAACTCATGGATGGACAATTCCACGTTATCCACAGCCACCGGAGCCTCCATGCCGAGTCCTGGCATTCCAAGAGCTGCTTTTGGCTCTGCCACAGCTGCCCCTGGAGCACTGGGATTGTCCTGTCCCCTCCTGGTGTCACCATCCCACTCCACCAGCTCTGGGGAACACATTTGCCACAAAAGCTGTGGCTGTCCCTGGATCCCTGGAATGTCCAGGTTGGACAGGACATGGAATCACCTCGGATGATGGAAGGTACCCAGGAATGACATGATTTTTAAGGTCCTTCCAACCCAAACCATTCCATGATTCCTGACAACCTCACTCAGGCAAATCCTTCTCATCTTCATGTGGAATTTGCTTTTTTTTACACAATTTCTTTCTCTACAATTTGGGAACTTGCTTCCTTACGCTCCAGTCACAACGAGCACGTGGCTCACCTGTCCTGGCAGCTCTGGCTCAGCTCCTGGGAGAGGCAGATTTTGGCACCCACCTGGTGTTGCTCTGGCTCAGGTCTGGCTCAGCTCGTGGGAGAGGCAGATTTTGGCACCCACCTGGTGTTTCTCCAGCAGCAGCCGGGCGATGCCGACGTGCCCGTTCTGCAGGGTGTCCATGAAGGGAGTGACCCCACAGCTGTCCCTGCTGTCAGGTTGGTACTGGCACCTGGAAGTGACAGGAGAAACAACCAGGACAGAGCCGTTGGCAGCTCCAAATTCCTTATGGAAGGAGACCCTCAGCAGCTGGGATTGAAAGTGGAATATATAAAGCTCATCCATAGACCGTGGATAAACCTCTCCTGGTGTTTTTAGGGCCTGGGGAATGATTTGTGGGGTTTTTTTTTTGGGATTGGAGATCTGGTTAAGTTCATTTGGGCTCTACAGATAATTTATAATTCCCTTTTTCCTGCCCAGAGGGTTTCCAGAAGGGACAAGGTGTGCACTGGAAGCAGGGAATAACCAGATCTTCGTGGAATGATGTACAAAATCAAGAGACCACCATCCTCATTCAGGTTAAACTCCAGTGAAATGAGAGAAAACTGAATTAAAGCCTGGCTTAGATCACAGAGCTGTTTATACTGGGCCAAGCATGGACAGGTTGGGATAAGCTGCAATTCCCAGGGAAAGCTGCTCCAGCTCTGGGAAGGGAGAACAGAGAAAAGGAACAGAGCTGCTTTAAAGCCACTTCCCAGCAATTTCCCAGGAAAACAAGGATAAGCCCAGCCTAAGGAAGCTGCTCCCAGCACAGAGCTGCCAGGAATCCCTTTGCTCCTTGTCACACTGGGAATGAATCAGCAGGGAAAACAGACCCAGGGCTGAGTTATATAACTGGGATTTGTGTCACAACCAAGAGGGAGCCCATCCCCAGGGAATCCTTGTGTTTTTCCCAGCTGGGAAAAACCTGGAGCACGAGGAGGAGCCCACCTCGGGGTGCAGGGCAGGGCAGCTGTGCTGTGCTTCCCCAGTGGAACAGCACAAGCATCCTTTGTGTCCAAATCCTGGCAGGGAATGGGGAGGTGGGGGAGGAAAAGCTGGAAAAGCTGCGAGGAGCCTGCTTACCTTTCCAGGAGCAGCTCCACGACCTGGGAACAGCCGTGCATTGCTGGGAAAAGATGGGAGAACCAGGAAAAACACGGATTGGTTGTGGTTTTGTGGCATTGTGTCCCTACAGTGAGGCATGCTCGGGTTGCTGATCCTTTTGGGATGAGGGGAGGGGCTCCAAGGGGCTTGGGATGCAAGGGGCTTTATTCCCATCAATTTTTTGGTGGGATTTAAAATAAAAAAAAAAAGGCTTCCACTGCTCTGATCCGATTGGGAAATGTTAGGTAAAGCAGGGAAAAGGCATGGAATGGGCATTGCCTGGTTCTACCTGCCACAGAATTCAGCTGAAACAAAGAGGGTTTCTCCCAGTTATTTGTTCATTCCCGAATTGGGATCTGGGAGAAGCAAAAGGAACACAGAGCAGGCAGCTGGGGAAATGCTGGATAACATTCCCAGCTCTCCTCAGCCACTCCCATCTCATCATCCTCACCCATCTCAGAGGGAAAACAACAACAGAGGGGGAGGATTTGAACCCGAGGCACTGAAATATTCCAGTTTTTTCTTGCTTTTTTAAACATTTCACTTCACACAGCTTTGATCCAACTTTTTTTTTTTTTTTCCTTCCCCCTGCAGGTCATTTTTGCAAAACAAATGGAACACATTCAAGAGAAAAATATCATCAAACCAAGGCCAGAGCTGCTCCATCAGGTGATGGAAAAAGGGCTCCTGGGAAATGTGTGCTCCCAGGAGCAACTTCCAGCTGGAATCCCAGTGAGGGATTCCCAGATTTTGGCTCTTTGCTCCTGCTCCCTGCCTGATGAACCCGAGTTATGGGAAGAAAAATCCCTTACAATTCCATCTTTTATCAGGAACAGAGACTTGGGACAGCTGGGATTCACTGCTGCATTCCACATCCTCTAATTACCTCTTCCCCAGCTTTCTTCCCTCGGGATAGAAGAAGCAACAAAGCTGAAAGAATCAACCCTTATTAATATAAAAAATGATTGCAGGAGGGAGAAAATGACCCTTCAGGAAGACAGCTGGCCTGGTCACGGGTTAATGTGCTCAAACCCACACCCCTGGGATGGAAATCCATGGAAATCCATGGAAAAGGCAGTTGGTCCTTTCATCATTTCCCCTGGCAGCTCCAACACCATCTCCAGCCCCTCACCCTTGCTCCTGCCTTGGGAATTGGGAATATCCCCTGGGATAATGGTGGGGATACCAGGGAACAGCAGTTTGGGATCAGATTGCACTGGGGGCACTGGGGGGGTTAAGTCATAACTCCCTAAAATTCCAGCCCTTCCCAATTCCCAGTCACTCCCACTCCAACTGCTGCTCCAGGCTCTGGATGGGTCAGGAAATTCCAGAAATCCACCCAAATTGTGGATTGGTGGCTCTGCCAAAGGAAACACAGGTGGAGGCATCTCTAGGAAGCAGAATCCAGGTGCTGGATCCCAATTGTATGCCCATATCCCAAGGCAGGGAGAAGACTTTACCTCAAGGTCAGAATTCCCACTTTCCCACAGGATAATCCCAAATCCCAGAGCTCACCCTGCTCCTGACACTGTCCCAGCCCAACATCCACCTCCTGCTGGGAGAGGAGCTGCCAGCTCCATGGAAACAACACCTGGAACTGGGCAGGGATAGGAGAACATAAAAAAAATCAGGATCAGCCACTTGAGGCAACCTGCTGTGATCTCATTCCCTGTTTTTTTTCATTCCCAGGTCAAGCACAAGGACTCGGTGGTGCCCAAGGGCTGGAATTGTCACTGCTGATGAGCCAAGAGTGACAGAGCAAGGGCTGGAAAAGCCACGGGAGTGACAGCACAGCAGGGGCTCCTCCCAACACCTCAGGTTTTTCCAGAGTCAATCCCAATTAAATTCTTTGGGGAAGGAGTTTGGGTAGCCAGGGCTCATCTCTGCTGATGAGATTCCCACTCTGGATGTGGTCTGAGCCCTTTTCTGCTTACCAACAATCCTGAGGATGGCTGGGATTTCTAAACATGCCCATTCCCTTTAAATATCCCTTAAAAGCAGGGAAAAGGGCAGGGAAAGTGACTTGTGGATATGGTGGGCTCCAACAACAGCTCCTGTGTATTCCCAGCAGGGATTTTCCCTCCCTTTCACAGAAAGAACCTCTGGAATTCTCACCATGGGATGACAGCAAGGGGATTCCCAAATTTGGAGTTTATTCTTGGAATCATGGAGAAATTTTGGTTGGAAAAATGCTTGAGCCTAACCATTCCCAAAACTGCCAAAGCCACCACTGCCCCGTGTCCCCAAGTGCCACATTCACATGGATCTTAAATCCCTCCAGGAATGGGGACTCCACCCCTGCCCTGGGCAGTTCCAATGCTTACAAATTCTTATAATCCCTTTCCATGGAGGGATTTTCCCAATTTCCCACCTGAACCTCCCCAAGCCCAGCTTGAGGCTGTGATAAAGAAATCCACCCCCCCCAGGCAGATCCCAAAAAGTTCCTCTCAGCATCCCTGCTGCTTTCAGGAATTTCAAATGCCAGGATGTGCTTGGAGCTGGGGAGCATTTCACACCAGGAAGGAAAATTAAATTCATATTCCAAGCCAAGGGAGCTCGGATCCATCTGTGCCAGGGAGAGATGAACTTGATCCAAGGATCCCAAGAATTCCAAGAGGCCGGTGTGTGGATTTACTGAGGGAAAAATTCCCATTTTTCTGG